GCACAAAAACAAAATCCAAGCTATGCACCCAACCTCAGTGGTTGTTCTTGTCTTCATCAAGCAAGTTTTCAGGTCTGTTCACAGTATTTTCATTATTTATTTGTATATACCATGTTAATTAAGTTAAAATATTTCTTTTTTAATATCCAGAGGATCACTTCATATGCATAAATTAGTACTATTAGAACTTTAGTAATGACCTACATGTTGTGTATGTTAAGGATTGAAATTAATTTGGTCACTTACAGAATTTTAAAATATATTTGAAACAATTATTTTTGCAGGGAGATTTGGTAGCAGTGAAACAATTGTTGGACAAGGGGATTGATGTTAATGTGGAAGGATCTGGTGGTCTCACTCCCTTGCACCTTGCTTGCTTAGGAGGTCACTTGAATGTAAGTAGATTCCTTTATTAAATATTATATTTAGTTAATAATATCAAATTATTATTTAATTTGGCTGACTCTCTGTAACCGAACAGATTTATGAATTTTTAAACTTGTGAGAAAGCAGAGGAAATTATGGCTTAGCTAAATATATATAGGTAAAGGGTAAAGGTAGAATAACTTGTACAGCGTAATTGTGCTGAATAGCATTCCGGTGTGGTGCATCACTACTTTATGCACTATAGTGAAACATGTAAATGATTATTAGTAGTAAAGTACAGTGTATGCACTTTGGGAGCACTGTTGAAATTATTATAATAATGATGGCTAGGTCTACGATGATGACAAGGACAACAGTTATGATGATGATGATGATGAAAATATTCATAGCCTAATTATGCCAATGATGAGGATGAAGGCAAAAATGTTGGTAATGTTAACAATGATTATAATAATGACAATAATGAAATTATTTGTAATAATGATGATGCTGATATTGATGATGTCTGTGATGATAAAGATGATAATGATGTCAGTGATGATGATTGGAATAACAATGATTAGTGATGACAGTGATGATATGAGAGGTGTAACCATTTATTTAAGTTTCATGAATTCAACCCTTTGGTCATCAAAGGCTTTCTTTCCTTACTTTACTTTAACATATGATTCCCAAATTTAAATTTCTTCTCTTTTTTTCTGTTCTTCTTAGGTTGTGGAGAAGCTTATAAGCTGTGGTGCAAACCTAATAGCACAAGATAGACTCAAATT